TTACACCAGCCTGCCGCCAAACCTTCAACCTTTTTTCGGGCAGGAGTGCCCCTATAACAGGTCTCCAGGCATGCTGTGTGTTACACGAATGCCTCTACCACCGGCTGGTGGGCCACGTACGACGGGCATACAGTGTCGGGGGTATAGACGGGCCCACAACTGCACTGGCACATCAACTGCCTTGAGTTGTTAGCAGTGCGCCTTGCCATGAACCGTCAGAGGGCGCTTACGAGGCAAGCACGTGCTGGTCCGCACGGACAACACTGCGACCGTTGCGTACATCAACCGACAAGGAGGTCTGCGCTCCCGTCACGTCGCAACTCGCCCACCACCCCCTCCTCTGAAGTCAGAAGCATCTGAGATCGCTTCGTGCCGTTCACATTCCGGGCCTGCTCAACCATTTGGCCGACGAGCTGTCATGAGCTGCGCTTCCCGGAGAATGGAGACTCCATCCCCAGACGGTCCAGCTGATCTGGAGACGTTTCGGAGACGCTCAGGTAGACCTGTTTGCCTCTCCAGAGACCTCTCACTGCCGGTTGTTTTACTTACTGAATGAGGGAACACTCGGCACAGACGCACTGGCACACAGCTGGCCGTGGGGCCTGTGCAAGTATGCATTTCCCCCAGTTAGCCTTCTCGCACAGACGCTGTGCAAAATCAGGGAGGACGAGGAGCAGGTCCTGCTTGTGGCTGGCCCAATCGGACCTGGTTCCCAGAACTAATGCTCCTCGTGACAGCCCCTCCCTGGCGGATTCCTCTGATGAAGGGTCTTCTGAGACTCAGAGACGGGGCACCCTGTGGCACCCGCATCCAGACCTCTGGTGCCCCAAGTGGTAGTAGACACCATCACTTCGGAGCGAGCACCGTCTACGAGACATGCTTACGCCTTAAAGTGGAACCTGTTCATCGAGTGGTGTTCTTCTCACCGAGAAGACCCCCGGAGATGCCCGATCAGAGTCATGCTTTCCTTTCTGCAGCAAGTGTTGGAGCAAAGACTGTCTCCCTCCAACCTTAAAGTCTATGTTGTTGCTATTGCTGCTAACCACGACCCCATGGAAGGGAAGTCGGTAGGGAAGCATGACCTGGTCATCAGGTTCCTCAGGGGG